AATTGGGACTTGGTTCTGTTGTTAATTTGGGTTCGTAATTTGCGAGTAGATCGATAGTCCGTACTTCAATAACTGGAACGAGCAAAACTTGGACGTAACACTAAGTTAGAGAACTGTGTTCAGGCTGCAAGCCCCTGTTTAAAATGTGACTCAGACATACTAGAAAAGGTACAGAGGGCAGCTACGCGTGCAATTCCGGAACTCCGGGGTTTATCATATAAAGAGCGGCTTGAAAAACTGGACCTATTTACTCTGTCCTATCGCAGACTAAGGGGAGATCTAATATTGATGTACAGAATACTGAGAAATGATTTCGGACCTAACTTATTCTCCCTCTTTCTTCCCACTAGATCGGGACACCTCAGAGGACATAGCAGGCGAGTAGAAAAGCCAAGAACGAACAGGTTTTCACACCGAGTCATCAATACTTGGAACCTGCTGCCTGAAGCAGTGGTGTCCGCACCTTAAATTGACTCTTTCAAGAGAAGACTGGACACTCACAGAAGCATACTAGAAAAGGAATAACATGGGCTGTGGGCCTTCTGTCCTTACTACACAAATCTGAATATCTTCATTGACTCATTGTATCGTGACAATTAACAATGATACTTAGTACTTCTGAAGAACACATTTGCGCTGGGGATAGAATAATATATTTAATGTGAATAGTAATAAGTTACACATAATAATCACATCTGCAAGGCTGAGCCATGACATCCTATTGAATGAATATCTCCAAGTCCACCACTACCGACCTTCTTCAAGTGTTACATGCCATATATACATCTTTTCAATCATTATATGCTCCGCTTCGATGGCTGTGCGGTTACGAAACAATGCCACTACAAGTACCCATCCGAATAAAGGGCGGCCTACTTGAGCATCTGGGCTACCCGTTACTGCCATCCAGATATTTCAACAAGTTATCTATTTTTGTTTGTTTTAATATATCACTATGTTTATTAATCGCATAACCTATTCTGCTGCGTTTCTGAAAAGTGTACAACCTTTCGTTGTCAAGGTTACAAAAGGCTCAATAAGAGACAATGCGGTTGCTGGCAATATACAACGAAAAGAATGCACATTATTCAGATGTTAATTTACTGAACTGCTAACATCTAACTGGCGATCACTCAATATTTATCGCCAGCACCGACCAAGAAGAAAGAAACGGAAACTTGTTGAAATACTTTATGCTGAGAATTTTATATTGTACCAAAAATATAATATTGAATAAAGCTGAAAAATATATACTGTCGTAATGAAGAAACTTATATATACAACGCAACATCTTATCGAAACGTCTAAACTGATGCAGTACTAAAAGTTTTCGTAACGAAACGGGTACTTATAAAGCAAACACTTAGTAGTTTTTAATCTTCACAAACAGTTACCCGTTAAGATTATCGGTTTAACTCCCCAAGAAACTGCGAAGACGAAAATAAAAACTGAGAAAAAGTTTATTGACGCAGCATTACTACTGGTACAGGATGAGCAACATTTGATGCAAGGAATCAGTTTACATGTTGGATATATGGTTAAATTAGAAATACTATAGTAAACAGAACACGGGTGACGGCAGTCGAACTCGAAATTACAGGACTTGATAGTAAAATCTAACAACCATATAGTAAATGATTAATTTGCAAAATGTCCATAAATTGTCTCAAAATGACTCAGAGTTGATTGTTCCTAGATTTTCATACAAATTGCATTCTGTTTCCATTCTTTACTGTTCGGTCCTCTTGTCTCTTTGTCGCCAGACATTCTGTTCACGACTAACATCATATACTACTTATGTCTATATAATTAGCACACACCGCAATACTACTATAAAGAAATCCCAATATCTGGCGAGCTAATATTCCGGAAATCAGAAACCGTGCTATCTTGACCGATTGGTCGGTCGACGCGGATGGATTGATCGAAGATGAATGGAATAAGTTTAAGGCTACATTCGAGTCCGTAACGTCGCCGTTTATCCCATGGTCAGCACGTAAGCTATCACATTGCCCTCCATGGATTAATAAGGAAACCCGGAAGCTGTTAAAGCGTAGGAAACATTTCTGGGACTTATTCTTGTTGACAGGTCATGCACCATTTAAGCGTGAGTATCAAAAATACCGTAATATCTGTAAGAAAACCATAGCGAAATCCCGTACCACTTACGAACGACAGTTAGTATATGATAGCCGTACTTGTCCGAAACGATTGTTTTCGTATGTTAAACGGCAAATGAAACGTAGTGATGGTATTCCCCCGTTGCTGTTACACGAAAATTCAGAATTACTAGCTGAATCAGATCGAGCAAAAGCTGAGACTTTTTCAGATTATTTTAGCGAAGTCTTCTCTACGTTTATTGTAACAAATACTTGTCCCACTCACACCGAGATACCAACCATTGAATCTGTACAGGTGACTGAGGAAACTGTCCTTCCGTTGATAACTAACCTCAAACCTGGTAAGATACCGGGCCCTGACGGGTTACATCCACGGTTGCTATCATCTCTTGCGGACATTATTTCAAAACCGCTTGCGACACTCTTCAACATGTCCCTCTCACTCGCTCAACTCCCTAGAGATTGGAAGGACGCTATAGTTAGTCCTATATTTAAGGACGGTCAGCGACAGATAGTATCTAACTACCGGCCTGTCAGTCTAACTAGCATAGTCGTTAAGTTACTCGAAAAGATAATTCAGGTTAGGTTGCTAAGCCACATAGATTCACACAATCTGTTAGCTCCTGAGCAACACGGATTTCGTAACAAGCGTTCTTGCTTGACTAACTTGCTTATTGCGAGGGAGGATTGGACAGCAGCCCTAGATCACGGTCTGTCTGTCGACGTGATATTCATAGATTTTAGCAAAGCGTTTGACAAGGTTTCACACGTAGGTCTTATGCAGAAGCTCACGAGCTTCGGAATAATAGGTACTGTACATGAGTGGATAGGAAATTTCTTATGTGACCGCAGACAGAGAGTTAGGGTCAATGGAACGCTATCCGATTGGAAGCCGGTCAAAAGTGGTGTACCCCAAGGCACCATCTTAGGCCCTCTGCTCTTCCTTCTCTACGTTAATGAGTTACCACTGTTACTTAGGTCGTCGACATTATTGTTTGCAGATGATGTAAAAATCTGGAGAACAATAAAAAGTGCAGCTGATCATGTGGATCTTCAAGCTGACTTAGACGATTTAGTTAGATGGGCTCGAGAGTGGGGCTTAGAAATCAATGCTAGGAAGAGTGTACTAATGCACGTCGGTCACGGTAATAGTTACCGTTACACTATTGAGGGTAAACCTCTTCCATGCGTTCAAGAGCATAAGGACTTAGGAGTAATATTAAGTCATGACTTAAAAACAACTGCGCATTGCAAAGCAGCCGCTGTCAAAGGTTTTCGTGCGTTATGGTCACTTCTCCGAGCGTTCAAATCTTTTGACGAGGAAACGTTTCGAATTTTATATCCCATATATGTTAGACCACATTTAGAGTACTGTATCCAAGCAGCTAGCCAGTGTCTAGTAAAGGATACTAACTCCCTTGAGCGTGTCCAGCGTGTGGGAACGAAATTAGTGAAGGGTCTTTCTAGACTCCCTTACGATGAGCGCTTAAAACGCCTAAATCTTTTCCCCTTATCGTATCGTAGGACACGAGGTGACCTTATACTGGCATTTCGTATCTTTAATTATGATTTGGGTGTTAATATGTCTTATCTTTTTGCTCCCTCCAGCACTAATAATCTCCGAGGTCATAGCAAGAAGGTTCATAAACCACGATCTAATAAACTTAAAGTGGGATCCCGTTTTTCTCATCGAGTAGTCAATCATTGGAACGCCTTACCCGAACAAGTGGTATCAGCCCCATCAGTGAATACTTTCAAGGAAAAGCTGGACCTTCACTGGAAAGCAATGTGTCAGGATTAACACAGGTTCATCAACCTACTATCCTTATTACTGAAGACTCTAATTTAGGGACGAGCCAATCATAAGCGTTTGGGCAATTTCAAGGTCACGGAGCCAAGTTCAGCACGCGCTGCTGCTATCGTAAAGAATACTACACAAGGACAAGCGTTAGAGAAACTACATTCTTACCTACTTATTGATGATTATTAAGAAAAATCGGCTTCGTTGAATCTGTACATACTGTTTGCTTCGACTGGGTAGTGAAAGTGTTGTTAATATTGAAGGTGTGAATGTTATCTATCTTCCATCGACTGTAATGTCTAAGAATATGATGAAATCTACAGTTTACATTTCTTAATGGATCGAGAGTTCGTCTTCCTATGTATGCCAGTAGCATATGATGGCAGTGACACCGGCATGTCACAATTTATCCACCATGGCTTATCGTATACTGAACGATGACCTTGGTATTAACATGTCTTACCTTTTGCTTCCGTCTAGAACCGATCATTTGAGAGGACATTCGAAGAAAGTTCAGAAACCGAGATCAAATCGTTTACGTCTGGAGTTCCGTCTCTCGCACCGAGTAGTGAATTACTGGAATTCCCTACCGGAACACGTAATATCAGCACCGTCTGTTAATATATTCAAAACGAGATTGGACCTCCACAGTATTACAAACTGCAAGGATTGATATAGGTCGACAGACCTCCTATCCTTATTACTGAAGACATCCGGGTTGCATCTGCTCGCAATTTCTTTCGCTTCCAGGCAAACAGAACAGGACGCTCTCGACCGAAATTATCCAAACCGGACAAAATGTTCCCCGAAATAGGGAGATTTGGAAGTTACGAAGCAACAACCTATTCAAGGTGTGCACCACAAGACAGGGAGAGCTAAATCAATGTTTTTCACAGTGATTTTGTGGTTTTGCTGCAGCAAAAGATAACTTAACTAATGAGATCACCTGATATTCGTGTAACCTGAAAGACACCCAACAAACCAACAGAAATTGTAATACTGAATGTCCGCCTCTTTTCGGGCCGTTCAATGTCGCTGAAATGCAACGGCGGGCGGTTTTGAAAGGATCTGACTTTTACCGTACCAGATTTACTTGATGCCTTTTTATGTATCCAAGCAATTTCAATCCATGGCATATTGTTACTAATAAAGAGTTAAGTAGTGTTCATCTTTTGATAGCCCGATTTCGAGTCAACTTAAAAGTACTAGTCTTTCGATAGCATACTTCACACTGCCTTATTCATAACTTACTATTCTGTGTATCTAATCTTCCACAGAAATTTCTGAAATTAGAATTTATGTTTGACGGAGTATATTGCAAGATTCGTTCAAACAAGTGGAAGATTATTTTTGACACCACATATTTGCATATGTACACTATCTAGAAATAATTTACCACGTTTATTTTTTATCTGTTTAGTAAGCATAACGAAACATTTTATTTTAGAATCATATTCACGATCGTGACTAGGTCATTAGTAAAATATAGCCCTTAATGTTATCTCATTTTCACATATCGTTATCTCCACGGCTTATTATCAGCATAAAACAGGATTATATTTTAAGCACGATAAAGCCTTTTATAACTCATGTAAGACCGACTTATAACATAATGATGTAATTAGTATGTATAACCGCCTTTTATCTTACAGTAATAAGCGTTTAAGTGTCTAATTATTCACTCTTTTCTGGTAATTATTATATTATTAAGTTAAATGAAAATAATTCAGAGAGAATTTCTGTTCGATGGCCTCAATTTTTAAACGTATGATCTTATTTAGAGTAATTTCTACATATTAATCAATAATAGAATAAGGTATTAGGTTATCATCAAATATTTCAAATAACGGACAGAAGATGAAAAGGTAATATTAACAGAGTAAAAATAATAATAATAAATGTGAAAGATAATTGTTCACTGGATGATTAGTAATAATTCATAAAATAAACAACTGAATATCTCTTTTGAACATAATGACCAGGTTTAAATTGCTAACAATTCTGCTGTGTAAATTTATAAATCATATTATCTTTGAGCCAGTTTAACTTTGTAGATAAGTTTAAATAATGGTTTAATAGAGACAATTGATTAGACAGTAAAACGTGAAACATTTAACTGACGCGTATTTACATTCCGATACCCATACAAGGAAGGCTTCAGATATACTATGCTTGTGAGGTCAACATTGAGTAAATAACGTTAAATACGATTGTACAGCTTTAGTAGGCTACATCATGTAGACGAAAAATCCCTTCTTTGTGGTATTTTTACTAACTGATGATTATTCTGTACTTCATTGCCCGCTGAATACGAATACAAAATGCGATGAGTTTGTGTTCATTTAGTCCTACCTGCCTTAAACTTGAGTATTTCGGGAGTTCTTAGTTAATACATTAATTCGAATACTTCCAATAATTATATTATATTTTTTACGTCAAGCTAAAAGGTTTGACAAGAATGAGACATTTCAATAGATTATCATATAGTAAATATAATTTAATATTAGCTATCCACTTGTAAATAAATTATTCGATGAACTTATTTTACGATTTTTATTCCTTGTTACAATCTTTGAATGACTTTATGAAAAAGATAGGAATGAATGTTGTATATTAGATTTACGAGGGAACAGAGTTATAAATGAAAATACTATTTTTTTTATAAAGTCTTAAACTAGTTGAATTATTTAATTATTATTCATAGATACTACGTCTTATCACGTTATACAATGGAACATAGATTCGTACGAATTGGGTTTAAATTTTAAGAAATCTATACTCTAATTAGAGTCAAATTTTTATCGAATAAAGAAATATATCAGTAATATATATTTAGTTATGTACATTATAATGATCTTTATTAGTTGGACAATACACCTTTTAAGTTAAATTGTAGTTTTCACAGATTGAAATCATGAGTCAGTTGAAGCTAGACCACCATGGAAAACCTGGAAGCACTGGACGGCCGTTTCGTCCTGGTATGGGACTCCTCAGCAGTGCGCATCCACGATCCCGCACTACGCGGGGCTCGGACCCACGACCTGACTCATGATTTCAATCTGTGAAAATTTCTAGAACTCTCCACAAAACCCATTCTGATAATAGTCAACTGCTCATTAGTGACTGACTTCAAGAAAAACTCCTGGAGTTCTAGTGAGAAGCCGTTACCAGTGGAGTTCAACCGGTCTGTTGTGAGATAACAACTCACTGAAGACAATGGTGTACGGTGGCGCAACTTCGTGGATTGGTTGAAGTTAGACATTAACACCGTTGGATGCCGGCTCAGTGGTCTAGTGGTTAAGTGCTCGCGCGCGAAACCAGTAGGTCGTGGGTCCGAGCCCCGCGTGGTGCGGGATCGTGGACGCGCACTGCTGAGGAGTCCCATACCAGGACGAAACGGCCGTCCAGTACTTCCAGGTTTTCCATGGTGGTCTAGCTTCAACTGACTCATGATTTCAATCTGTGAAAATTTCTAGAACTCTCCACAAAACCCATTCTGATAAATTGTAGTTGCTGATTATTTCGTACTAAGTCTCTGTTCTGGTCAAACAATTTTTTTTGAAAACAAATGAAACTACCAATTTTATACTGTTTAGTCAAAATAAATTCAAATAGAAGTTTAAATCAAACCATCTAACACAAATCGATGTATCAAGTTCAACTCGGTACATCCACTCAATGCAAAAATCCATTTGTCTCTAAATTGACTCAGACGAGCGTCAAACATTGTGATAAAAAATATAAACATCCAACTGTTTGATAACTTCCCCATGAATATTATCAAAAATATACTAAGATGAAATGTTCTTTTGATGAATAATAACAATAATAAATTGAATGGACTATCATGGGTTGGCACTGTAGTTCTGTCATACCGTCATGAAAAAAACAGAATGACTACAACGAATCCTTAGATCACACAGAATTAAAACTTTCTATAAAATACTGATTTCGAAAGGCTTTAGTTCAAATCAAGGATGAGATCCCTGTCACTTCAACACAGCATTTTGTCTACAGACTAGGATGTGTAAACTGACTGTGATGCATTCTATGCTGGGGAGTCTTCTCATGAACATTCAGGCTACACAAAAAGACCTCCAAATGATTATGTGCAATTAGATAACCTACAAATCAAATCAGCAATAACACTACATGCTATTTCTAACAACTACCAAGCCAATATTAATAACACCAAAATCATTCATGAAGGATTTTCCAATTATAAAGGCGAGTGGCTGAAGCCCTTCATGTTTTGATAAACCCTACTGGGCTTAGGAGGAAGGAAGGCCTAACGATTTATCCAACGTGGATCAATTATTAAATATTTACACAACTAATTTTGTTCACATCTCACGCCACTGAAAAATAAACAAATATTCCTAACCCACTCTTCCACATCACAAATATCATTTTCCACACACACAACTACATGCAACTAGGTATTACACAATAGGAAATAACCTTGTTACAGAGAACACAATAATATTAGCATGATTAGGCCTATCTTAATTTCGATTGTATTAAAAATATTTTGCTTTGTGTCTCTTGAACTTGTGTTAAGTCAGTTCACGTATTTTTATTCTGTGAAGAAGTGGTTTACTCTAAGTCACGAAACGTTAGAAATCTAGCTTCTACTCATTGGAACTTAACAAATATAGTACCTTGATTATTAAAAATGAAACTTAGTTTTTTTAAACCTAAACTATATCATGATAGACAGCTTGTAATACATTTATATAGTCGAACTTTGTCGTTATGCTGTGAGTAATCAGATTGTTTTTTTAACACCTATCAGATAAAGGGATGAAAAATATTGTAATTTGGGGGGTGGAAAATTTTTTTTAAATGGCCGGTCGGACAATATTATTCCAGATAAAGCGCTTCACAAAATAAACCGACTGAATAGCTCCAAGTCTAAGTTGACAGATCTTCAAGTTCATTAAATCTTAGTTACAGACAATCAGTTAATGAGTATTGTCAAGTTAAAATAATCGTCAACCAATAATGACTATAGTTTCCAAAAAGAATCGTAAATAGTTTATTTCAAGTTATTTCTTTGATGATATAGTGTATAATTATTTCCTGTTGAGTTATTTGTCTATTGTACGCAGGATTCTTCAGGTTTCAATAGATGTATTGCAAAGCAACAGTATAACATGGTATTACTCTAGACTAGTTGATTGATTAAATACGAAGAGACAATATGATTTAAGAAATATTGTTTCGAACATAAATTACCGTATATAATTTGATATTGAGGCCAAATTGTACGCATAAATCGTATAATTATGGGTAGATACAACGTTCAATAGTAGAAAATTAATAAATTGAGAAAAAGATGAAAATCAAAATATCATAACAGTTATACGAAATAACTATACTTAAAATAATTACACATTTTATTTCATATTATTGATAAGTAATACAATATTGGTGAGCATATGAAGTGGATGATCAGAATATGAAATTTATTGAAATCAAGTGATCATGAAATTAACAAAATGGTAACAAAGACATACACACACAAGCTTACAACCAGGACGTTGATCCATGTAAGTAATCGTTAAATAATGTATGAAAGTTACCATCATACAGATCATAGGTACAATTTCCTTCATTGTCTTTAGCATAGATATCAGCATTAGATTTTAATAAGACTTGTATAACATCATCATGACCACAAGAACAAGCTGTAAGTATACAAAATAAACAAATTAATTCGATACTTGAAAAAAGGAATATTCAGATTTAAAAGGAAAATATTATTAAACAATTATACAAAAGACGAGATTTAAGGTAATCAAATGGAAAAATGAGATAAAAATGTATACAAATGCAGACTTGCGTCACTGATATTTTATTTGGGTGAATGTAAGGAACTACTACTTGGTCACTGTATTTTAACACTTCACTTATTATACACCATTCTTCTGGTAACCGTTCAGTGATTCTGCCTGTACCTATTAAGGATAGCATAATCTCCGAACGTATGTCAACGGAATTAAATCTCTTCTCAATAATTTCCATCAGCACAATATTATATAAAGTCATTATTTCACCGTGTCTCCCTAAACTTAGTTTACATTCCGTTCCTCGCAAAAATCACATGAAACGGTTTTTTTTACTAGTTCAACGC